TCGTCGCCGGTTCTCTGAACTCAGACCGTGTGGTTTGGGAGGCACTGGCGGAGCTGCGGTGTGAGACAGAGTCCGAGAGGGAACCTGAGGAGGAACGTCAGCATGTGATGAGGAATCCTCCAGCTCGGAAAAGGGACCGGCAAGATCGTCGGAGCTGTTCCACTCTGAACTGCTGGTTTTGGTGAAATAAGGAGAGATGGGGTTCCCGTTTACCACATGAGCTCGTTCTACCTCAGGCTTTTCCATCCTCTCCTTAACAGGGTTGTATCGAAAAGCTTACCTTCTGCAGGAGGAAACACACAGAGACTTGTAATATCTACCTCATACTGGCCCATATTACCTTTTTTTTTAAAAAAGAAGTGCACTTAAATACAAATATTTATCTTTAATGCACAGTTGCATGCATTCTTTAATGTATAGGTTTTATGAATCAAAGACACATCTCAAATATTTCTGCACTGAAAAACTGTGTGAAAGACAGAAAGACCGAGGCTGATTTCTGGCCGATATGTGACTGTGGCTGAGTGAGTGCAGTGTTATGTAAAGGCTCGGGGCTGGGGTATTGTCTGGGTCTCAGTGGGGTCTCTGGTGGGCAGCGCTCAGCAGGCGGCTCTCGGCTCGTCTAAAGCACAAGGGGCCCAGACTGGGCCATCCGGTTCATACCAGCTTCTCTGCGCTCCCGATGGCTTGTTAACAATGAGCTCGAGGGGTAAATGCGATCATAAATGTGGCCATGTCCTGCCAAGCGGGCAGTGAGTCTGAGAAAACAGCAGAGCTTTCAATGTGTTGCTGTAGAGACCAAACCTTTAAATCTGAGGAGCTATCACAGGTGGACTGTGGGATGTATGGCTACACAGATGCATGCTGGGAACACATTCACATGCACCAGTGCACAAAATAACAGGGAAGACAGCACTGCTGTGCAAAAACCTCACAACATCACCCTTTATTAGTGAGGTTTTCCAGTGACAAAATAGCTGCTTAAAGGAAATTAAAAAAAATCTATAAGATCCACTATAATGCTAGTGCACCCCTAAAAGTTAACAAAATAATTTTAGCATTAAAAAAACAAAAACAAAACCTTCTCTTCTAAACTAAAAACAAACAAACAACCTTCTCTTCTAAACTAAAAACAAACAAACAACCTTCTCTTCTAAACTAAAAACAAACAAACAACCTTCTCTTCTAAACTAAAAACAAACAAAAACACTGATAACATTACTGCTCACAGATGTACATAAACATAAATGTTTGTTTAATGCTTTCTCTCTTCATTAAAATGAATGGGTCTTCTCTCACTATTACTAAGTAAACATTATTATATTAAATAAATAAATACATACATATATATATATATATATATATATATATATATATATATATATATATATAAATA